TGTGACCACAGCTTCTCTATCCAGTCTTCGTTGATGGGCTAGATATTTATTTTTATTGTAGCTGTTTGTTAGATACCTTCTAGTCAATACCAACTTCTGGCAATTCCTTATGTCCAGAGTTCAACTATGGCTCTTAGTGTTTACAAGGGTTTCAAAACAGGTTACCATTTCTTCCGAAGCTGAAGCATTTGAATTCACAAGCTTTTTAGCAAGTAATCAAGTGCATAACTACTTGCACCACCAGAGATACTTATTTATATTTAGAAACAGGAAGGAAAAGTTCAAAAAGAATACTTAAGGGTTTTGTCTGGTATCAAATTTTAGCTCTATGAATAAATTCTTTTGCACATTTCTTGTTTTTATTTTTCCAACAACTCTGTAAAGTCCAAAGGTACCTAAATATTTCTTTATGGCCTAAAATGCATATTATTAGTTGCTAAATATCAAAATACGTTATAAAATTTTATATCTCAAATTTAAGTAATTAATTAGCTATTGTGATGCATTATTTGTAAAATAAATGTGTATAATAAACTAAAATACATACACTCCTTTTATATATATCCGTATATCTATATCTGTATGTGTATATATATGTGTGTGTATATATGTACACACACACCCACACACACACACACACACACACACACACACACACACACTCCTTTTACGGGAAGAAATAAGTATTTCATCTTTCTATGTTCACTAATTAGGTCTTTTTCTCATACAGCCAGTGGCCCCAGATGACCTAAATCAGGAAAGACTATGGAGTCCGATTGCTTGTCTTGTTATTTGATTATCTGAGATGTGACTCATTGGGGAACTATCAAAGCAAAAATGAAAGAATATTATGAAAGCCAAAAGAAACAAGAGTATACACGTATTTTGATGTTTTTAATTTTGTCTATTTCTGTGTTTATTTTTTTTTTTGCAGAGAAATAACATTTCTTTTGAGTAAGAAGTATAGAGTTTGAAATTATTTTCTGATTTCTACACAGAAATTTTAGGATATTAGGGACAAATAAGATTATGAATGAATTAAATATATATCAACAAGCCAAAAAGTGGATACCTCTCATATGACAGTAGACTTGAACTCCCTGTTAAAGATGTTGCAGTTTTGCAATTTGCTCTACATGATTAAAATGACTGCCAAATCTTGAAAGAATTTTCCTCACAGATGGAATTAACAAAAGAAAAAGACCAAAGAAATGTTACCACATTGGTAGAATTTATCCTGCTTGGCTTTTCTGATGTTCCTAAACTCCAAGGATTTCTTTTTGGGGTGTTTCTGATAATTTATGTGATTATTCTGATTGGGAATTTTCTCATTATCATACTAACCAAGGTAGATTCTTCCCTGCAAACCCCGATGTATTTTTTTCTGGGAAACTTTTCTGCCTTGGAAATATGCTATGTATCAGTCACTATTCCCAGACTGTTAGCAGATCTTTGTAGGCAGAATAGAAACATTTCTTTTCTGGCCTGTGCTACTCAGATGTATTTTTTTCTGGTCTTAGGGGCCACTGAGTGCTTCATTCTGACAGCAATGTCTTATGACAGGTATGTGGCCATTTGTAATCCATTACTCTACCCTCTGATCATGAACACTGAACTGTGCATGCAGCTGGCAACTGGCTGTTGGATCAGTGCAGTTCCAGTACACATAGGGTTCACCTATCTGATCTTCTCTCTACCTTTCTGTGGACCTAACCAGTTGGATCACTTTTTCTGCGACATCCCTCCAGTGCTGAAACTAGCCTGTGGAAACACCTTTGTAATTGAGATGCTGATTTACGTCGTGGCTGTTCTAGTTGTCACTATTCCTTTCATGTTGATACTTGGATCTTATGTCAAAATAATCTCAACCATCCTGAAGCTTCCATCAGCAACCGGGCGTGCCAAGGCATTCTCCACTTGTTCTTCTCATCTTATGGTGGTAACGTTATTCTTTGGATCAGGCATCATTACATATATGAGACCCAAGTCCAGTCATTCAGTAGGAATGGATAAATTCTTTTCTCTTTTTTACACCATTGTAACACCAATGTTTAACCCCTTGATATATTGTCTCAGGAACAAAGATGTCATGGTGGCACTGAAAAAATTTCTATCAAAATGGGTTTTGTCATGATTTTTTTTTAAACGTTGCTCTCTATATATTAATTTGGTTCTATTCCTGATATTCTAGGGATCTGTTCTTTTCAATTAGTGATCTCAGATATATTTCTTATCTTTCCATGAAATAAAATGTGCCTTTCTTTTCAAATAGCGGTCTATTGGCAAGAAGCTGCACTGCAATCCTGAAGGCCCACAGTTTGAGGCCACCAGCTGCTCAGTGGGAGAAGGATGGGCAATGATTAACTGCCTCTGAAAACCCTCTGGAGGGTCAGTTATGGGCTGGTTCTGACATAATAACCATAACAACAAACTGCGGAACTGTTAGTCAGTAATATAGATCCATCCAAAATAGCTTTGCATCTAAAATAATACACCAAAATTATCCAACTGTATGCTGTATTTTTGTTTGATTTTATTTTTTAAGATTCTAGAGAGTTGGACAATGACTAGGGAGGATAGAAGGAGAATTGATGCCTTTGAGCTGTGGTGCTGGAGAAGAGTATTGAATGTATCATGGACTGCCAAGAAAACAATCAGATTCATCCTAGAGAGGGTTAAACCAGGCTACTCCTTGGAGGCAAGGATTGTGGGGCTTCGTCTGACATACTTTGGGCATGTTGCAAGAAGGGAGAGGTCCTTGAAGAGGGACATCATGCTTGGGAGGGTGGAGAGATGGCGCAAGAGGGGAAGACCCTCTATGAGATGGATTGATTCAGTGACTGGGATAATCGGGATGGATGTTTCAGAGGCAGTGCGATTGGCACAGGATAGAACAGGGTTTAGGGCTGTTGTACATAAGGTCATTATGAGTCACAAATGACTCAACAACACATAACAACAACAGAATATATCTTATATTTTCTTTTTTGCTTAAAAAATAATATTTATGAATTTATTTCCAGAATCCAACATATTGTTGTATGTACTATGATAATAATTAATAATTTAATAGCATCTAATTAGTTTTGCTAAATTGCACTGATATCTGATAATCAAAGCTGTAACTTTTACATGCTTAGCTATAAGTAATTGCATTTTAGGCAGATACATTTGAGTAAGGAAGAAAATATGAAAGCAATAAAATAAAGACCATCAAACAATTAAATGATATGTTTTCTACCAAATCATCAAGTGCAAAGCTCTTGCTTTGTGAGAGTCACTTCTCTTATCTCTATGCAACTTCTGCAAAAAAAGTCAAGGACTGCAGTCTTTGATATGGATTGAAGCTCAACATCAAGAAGACAAAGAGTCTCATTATTAGACCAACTGGTTGCACCATGATAGATGATGAGATTGAGGTTGTTAACATTTACAACTTGCTCAGTTCCACAATCAACTCCGTTGGCACCAACAGCCAGCAAATCAAAAGATGAATTGCATGAGATAATCTATGGTGAATAAATTTTCAGTGTACTGAGAAGCAACAATGTCAGTATGGAGACTAAGGTGCACCTGATCCAGGCCATGGTCTTCACAATTACTTGCTATGAATCCAAGAACTGTATAATGACTAAGGATGACCAAAGAAGAATTAAAATATTTTCACTGTGGTACTGGAGAAGAGTCATGGATATACAATGGACTGCCAAGAAAACAAATAGGTCTATCTTGGAGAGAGTGAAACCAAGTTTCTCCTAGGATTTAGAATCTCTACCTCACGTGCTTTGAGCATGTGGCCAGGAGGGATCCATCCTTGGAGAATGGAATCATGCTCTGAAAAGTGGAGGGACAGCACAGGATAGGATGACCCCAGATGACATGGACTAATACAGTGACTAGGGCAATGGGAGTAGGTGTATCAGAGTCAGTGAGACTGGCTCAGGATGAGGTAGGCTTCAGAGCTGTAGTACCTGGGGTGCTATGGGCAGCAGGCAACTTGACAACACATAACTACAACAACAGAGTGCAACTTCTACTTGGAATATTTCTGTAGAAAAACTTTATTCCATACGATTTAATAATATTTTACTAATGTAATTTGCAGATAATATTTTACTGGAGAATGTGAAGGAAAGCACAGAAATGGTAAATATGAATGTTAAGGTCAAAAATATAAGAGAATTTTAAGATAAAATATTGATCTCCACAGTATAGTACAGTAGCTCAGGCCAATCAAGGACAATGCAGTATTATCAAGGACACTACTGTATTATCACTAATTCTGTCTAATACTAACTGAAAAGTTAAAGATTATAGTATATAAAGAAATTCCTAAACAGACGTGTTTTGTGATCTACTTCTAAAAAAGCAAATATTTCAAATCCTATCAAAATTTTTCACTCTAACATACTTTGGGTTGTAATGAGTTGGAATCTACTTGACAGCTATCAGACAGGTGTTAAATGTAGAAGGTATATCACTGTTGTTATTACATGCTATCAAGTAATTTCTGGATTATAAAATCACTGTTTAAACAGAAGGAAACACTGCCAATTCTTCAATAGTCTCACAATTACTCCTATGTTTGAGTCCATTCATTGTAGCCCCTTTGTAATTTATTTTGTTGAAGGCCTTCCTCTTTTAAACTCTCTGTGGTATCAAATATGATTTACTCCAAGTTTGATCTCTCCTCATATTTAACATGAAATGAATTTTTTCCATTCTCTGATTGTCTCTTCTAAGGAGACATTTTGGCTGAACTTCTTGTAAGACATAGTTATTTGTTGTTCTGTTAGGCCTTGACATATTCCATGCTCTTTACCAACTTAATAATTCTAAAAATATTATTCCTAAAAATTAGTAAATTAATTATATGAGACATACATGCAAAGAAGAATGTCATGGAAAACATAAACTCGTTTAATTTAAAGCAAAAATGGCTACATAAAACAGAGGACAAAGCAAAGAATGAATGAAGAAAAAACTCAGACAAAAATGATATGATTGAATTAAAACATAATCACTCCAAATACATACGCAAGAAGCTTTCCATTTTAGGTAGACATTGGGCCAAAAAAACTAAGCCAAACTATTGTTGTTGTTGTTGTAGTTGTTGTTGAGTATTGTTGAATTAGAATTGACCCTCCAGCTGGTTTTTAGAGGCAGTTAGTCACACAGGAGGGGATTGTTCATCCTTCTCCCGAAGAGCAGCTGGCGGCTTTGAACTCTGTACCTTTGGAATTGTAGTGCGTTTTCTTACAGTGCACTGTTGAACAGAATTATATTTTATATAACTAGAGGTTGTTGTTGTTGTTAGGTGCTGGGGACTCAAGTACAGCCTCTAGCGATTCTATGAACAAGAGATTGGAACCCTGTCCTATCCTGTGGTATCCTCACACTTGCAGCAGTCAGTGTGTCCGTCCACCTGGTTGAGGTTCTTCCTCTCTTTACTAACCCTCTACCTTGTAAAGCATATTGTCTTTCTCAAAGGAATAGCCTCTCCTAGCAGCAGACCCAAAGTATGCGAGATGAAGTTTTCTCTCTTTGTCTCCAAGGAACATTCTGGCTAAGCTTTCTGTAAAACGTATTTGTTTATTCTTTTGGCTGTCTATGGGATATTTACTATTACTCTTTAACACCTCAACAGCTCAAAGACATCGTCTTCTTCTGTCATCCTTATCCATTATTCAGATGCATAGCAAGTGATAGGAAAAAATCATGGCCTGAATTAGACACACCTTAGTCCTCAAACTGATATCATTGCTCTTCAACAATTTGCAAAGATATCTGGCTACATACTTTCCCAGTACAGTACGTCTCCTGATTGCTGGTACTAAGCATGTTGATTGTGGATATAAATAAGGTGAAGTTGTTGACAGTCTCAATCCTTTCTTCATCTGTCACGATGTTGTCTATAGGCCAAGTGGTGAGGATTTTTGTTTTCTTGGTGTTGAGATGCAATCTATATTGGAGGTTGTATTCTTTAATCTTCTGCAGCAAGTTCTTCAAAACGTCTTCACTTTCAGGAAGCGAACTTGTGACATCTACGTAATGAAAGTTATGGATGAGTTTTCCTCCAGTCTTGATGCCACATTCTTCCTCAGAGTCCAGCTTCTCAAATACTTTGCATGTTATATAGACTAAAAAGGAGTGAAGACAGCAAACAACAAATGCTGGTGAGATTGTGGAGAGACTGGAACCCTTATTCACTGTTGGTGGGAGTGTAAAATGGTGCAACCACTGTGGAAAATGGTGTGGAGCTTTCTCAAAAAGTTGCAAATAGAGATACCATTTGACCCAGCAATTCCACTACTGGGAATATACCCCAAAGAGACCA